ATTAAGGGCTCCAATCACCAAGTTCTTGGATGAAAGGGATTGCATTTGCTTTGTTATTTCCTCTCCTTAAAAAAGCCATAAAACAAAATATTATATTTGACACTAATTTTTCCTGAATAAGAAAAGTCCATTTGCATCCTAGCTTAAAAAAAAAAAAAAAAAAAAAAAAAAAAAAAAAAAAAAACATAGCTTAAAAAAAAAAAAAAAAAAAAAAAGATCTGAAGTGGTTATTCTGCAGAAGTAAAACTTTTGTAAAAGCTTTCAATTAAACTGAGCTTAATTTCTCCTCTAATTTATTAAACTGAGCTTAATTTCTCCTCTAATTTTTCCCAATTTAATTGCCAACCCAACTGGAAATAACAGTTCACATAGGTTCACATAGGCAGAGACCAAATTTCTGTTAATCACTGAGATGATTTTACTAAAAACTTCTGTAAACAATCTGTTTGAAAAGCTAAYACTTTTCTGTGTGGAATATCCAGCCCTCCTTTCTTAGGGACTTCTGTTTGAACATGGGAATTGAAAAAATAAATAAATAAATAAAAAGCAGTCCTTGRCTGAATCTTGTTTTGTGCAGTCCCAGCTTGTAAGGAATTTTGTTTAATTAATTGGCTATAAATATATTTAAATATGTATCTACATGTGCATGTATGCAGTTTGCTTTGAAAGAGAGACACCAGCTAGGAGCCTACCTGCTTTCCCTGCTTCCCACTGCTGGAATAACTCTCACTATCGTAGCCTTCCCATGGATTGCTTCCACGTGGTTCACCAGGGAATTGGGTTAAAAACCTCCCCCACCAGCCAACAGGACTCTTACTATTAGCTATATTATGTCCAGCAGGAAAGTTTCTTTTTTCAAGAGACATAGGTCAACCTGTCAGATTTATTCTCATATTGTTGACACTTCCATCACGGCCTCTCATCTGTTCAGAGTCCCTCCCTAGGATTGGTCTCAATTATTCTTTGCTTCTGACCCATCCAGCAAGGCATGGAAATCATAGAATCTTCAAGGCCTTTAAGATCGAGTGCCTCAGCTCCCACTTSTAGATTTACCACTGGAATGACATCTTCAGAATGATCATTACCAAATTCATAATGAGGCCACTSGCTCTTACTGCAGATATTGACACTGTTCACATCACCAGAAATTTTGAAGTTGAATACTGGAAGTTGCTTAAAAACTTTCCCAGCTATTAGGAAGGAACAACGACTGGRACAATCAGTACCAGTAAAAACATCTGGGAAAATTTGCCTTTTTATGCCTTGYTTTATATTCTTTCTCCTCTACCAGGGGTAAAGAGAGTCTGGAAAGTCTTGAAAAATTTGTGTTCTTTCCCAAAAACAAAGGAGGGTTTCGGAAAGAAGGCTGGTATTTTTCTTGCTGTCCTTGGGTAGCCAAAACTAAACTGAGTTATTCAGCACTTAAACAAAACAATTGGCCACACTTCACAACCATTAAAAAGAAAGAACTCAAGCTTACTGAAAATGGAACTTCCATTCAAAAAACTCTTTTGTATTTCAAAAAAGAGAAAGGAAAAAAATGAAGTTTCCTATTTTTTCAGGTTGGTCAGAGGTCCAGGCAGGGACCTGACACCCCCAGGCTGGGAATCTGGGATGCCAGAATGACAGGAGCAACAGCAAGCCCTCCTCCCCATCTATCAGAGAACCAAATGGGTTCTTGAAAAACCCAGCCAGCCTGTCCTCACAGCAAAATGTTAGGTGTGAACATTTGGGCTGAATTTTTGAACCATCCTTTCTCCCCAAGTGACCAGTTCCACATTCCTTTGGTACCTGTCTTCTAATGTGCCAAACAAGGCATTACATGGGGCTGGTAGATGCAATTCTGCACGCTTCCTATACCTTACCATRCCACAGAACTGTACAAATGTGGCTCAAGAGGATGCCAGGTGTCTCATGTGGAGTATTTTAGTGGCAAAAAAAAAATAGAAATGTTATAGCATGTCTCTTCAATGAATTGTATCCTTCCTGGAAGGAATCATGTTGTATTTGTCCAGAGATGTCAGTTAATACCTGATCCAGGTTGTGCTTAACATARCGAGTAGCTGTGAGTGTGCAAGCAGATACAGAGTTGTTTGTGTGCAAACAGAGCAGGAGAGCCTGCTCCTGCTTCTTTTAGTGCTTTTAGCATCCTTCAGCACACCTATCACATAACTCTCCCTCTCAGCTTCCTTCTGACCTCTGTAAACTCACAAGAGCTGATCTGCTTCTTTATACCTTCTGGTTGTGACAATTTGCCCCTCTAGGACTGTGGCACACAGATGAGGACAGCATGCCATGGAGCTCACAGTGCAAAGATCCTGGTGAGCTTGTGGGTTTATCAGAGAGACCTTTGAAATCCAAAGACAAATCTGCCAAGCCACCTTTTCCCAGCCATAGCTTCCTGTGGCCTGTGGTTATTCACCATTTAAGCCCATTCAGCAGCAGAACTAAAATACAGACACAGTAAATCCCACTGCCACCATCTCCATATACAACACACTTTATTATAACAGAATAAGGGGTTCTGCTCTGCTGGACCAAATCAAGTTGGTCAGTGTTAAGTATCACATTTTAGATTCAAATCCCTGCTAAACCCTCTGCTTATGCTCGTGGTTAACATTATTTTTATATCTGTCTTCAGAAATGAAAGACAGCAGCAGCTCACACATAGCAGCAACAGCATCAGCAGCTTTTAAAGGCCAACTCCATAGATTAAAGGGTGATACACTGAGCATCGAAATCCCACCACCCCAGTGTCTACTGATTAGGTTGGGAGAAAAGCTGAGTGACAAACATGTTTCCAATCTGCCTAGCCCATGCAGCGAAATGGAGCAATCTGGCCTGAAAAGGGATTTAGACTTTTGTTGTGCACAAGGGGAGAAAAAGCTGATTTAAATCCATCAACAATGCCYTCCCTCTTGGTGATCTCAGAGATAAGGAACAGAGTCTGGACACAGTTCATATCCTACCTCTCACCAGGCCCCACACTTCCACTCAAAGACAAAAGCTGGCAGATGAGGGCAAACGATGCTGCCTTGCTATTGAGCTGCCTGCTCACATAAAAACACGCTGTACAATGCATGGAGCCTGCCCAGAGCATTTGATCTAGCAAATTTTAAAGGGGGAGCAAATCCCCAAACSTGTAGGAAGAGAAATATATACCCTTTTAGATCATCAAGACCATTGCTATTAATATGTGTATAGCACTGATGTGCAAAAAGGATATTTGCAGACAAAAAAGATCTTACTGTAACCTGTTTACAGCCTAAACCAAACAGGCATTTACATCAGAGAATAACAACATCCTGTGGCTGATACAAGTGGGGCAGGCAAAGGAGAGACAAGGGRAAAAAAAAAAAAAAAAGGAAAAGGAAATAAGGTTTCTAAGAGAGCTATTAGATCCCCTTACAAGGAGAGCAGATCACATGGTTTCCTTTATCCTGGTTGTTTAATATATGCCATCCCTGTGCGTTTCCCTGTGACTGCCATAAGGAGTGAGCCATTACATTCTCTCTTTATCCCTTGTCATAAGGACTGAGAATGAGGTGATAACCCATTTTTCTGAAACCTTTCCAGACCCTTGGAAAAAATAAAAAAAAAAAAAATGTTTTGCCTTGTTTTATCTGAAAGAGATGAAAATGTAAAAATAATAAAAAAAAAATATTCTGGTTTCCTATAAGTGAATCTGCTTTTTGCTCATCTTTAATTATACTCATTTTTTTTTTTTAATAAAAGTGAAATGAAACAGCCATGCAGGCATGCACGTGGGGAAAGTCAATCTGTGYAAAAAGCAGAGACTTGTTTCCATGTGACAAAAATGTCCCTGACAACAGTTGTGAAGAACACCAACAAAATGGTTGCTGGAAAGCAGCAGCAGCAGCAGCAGCCATCACCTCCATCACTCCACGGATGCCCCTTGTGATAGGCATTAGTGCAGAGCTTCCTCCTTCACAATGATTAAAACAGACTTCAGCAAGCCCTCACTGCCACCATCTTTGGAGAGCAGCATTCAGATGCAGATTGCCTTAAATCCCATCAACCCATTCAGGCGTTCGTATGCGAGTGTGTCTGCCCCGAGTGTGTGTGCACGAGTGTTTGGATGCATTTATACACACACACACACACACACACACAATTCTCCCCGTGCACACACCTTTTCCCCACCCTCTCATTCAGAGGGAAAGAGCTAAAATCGTCAAAGAGGAGAATGTGTATTTTCCAGGCTACTTTGTCAGATGTTCATGTGTGCATCTTATAAATATTTCATACCAAATATTTAACATTATTCCTTCCCCAATCGGATCAGCTTTGAAATGCTCCTCAAAGTGAATTCTCCCCTAACAATGGCTTGACGCAAAAGCCTTTTTTCTCTCTTAAGAAGAGAAGGCTGCACATGGTCTGCTACCATAGCAGCATGAATAGTTCTTATTTAATGGAAAATAAAAGATACTTTACATTAATTCAGTGGGGGATGGAAAGCCTGGCACATGCGTACCTTGTGCTTCAAACATGGAGGAGCATCATACCTTGACCTCCCCTCTCCCGGTCCCATGATTATTACCCAGCTTGCATTAGAACCATAATGGGAAGTGACAAGTTTATGTAAATGATCCACACAAGGATTTTGCTCTTGTAAAACAGAGCAGTTACTCTGGGCTTTCTAATTATTTCATGCCTTGTGGTTCTGTGATGGGGCAGAGATGACTATTACTTGAAAAGTATATTGTGATTGACAAGCCACTGTCCCCCTGGAACTCATTAAGGCCTGAGCTTTGCAAGAGCGGGTAAAAAAACCCTACCAGGCACACCACACACACACACACATCCTCACCCCAGCGCCGGCTGCTCCTTCAGATCATTTGTTGGGATTTTTGAACTGATAGAGAAAAGCATAATCTGCATGTATCTCAAACAAGTACCACCTCCTGGCTACAAATTGACCAATTATCCTCTGCTTTCACATTCTCACTTTTAAATTTGTAAGCTTAGCAGCAACATACCTGTCAGACATGCAGSGGGGTTTGGATTTCGACACACTGGATGGAAAGTCACTTGTTTCRCAAGACACTATTCAACAGAACAGGGAGGAGAGGGGCTGGGACAGGGGACAAGGTCWACCCTAAAAGCTGCCACCAGTGCATTTCTGCTGCTCTGATTTGTGCCAAGAGCCTTCCAGTATATGTGAAAGGCCATTCTGCTGTCACTGCTGTCACTATTTGCTTTTCTTTCTTAATTAATTTTTCTGGCCTTTAAACTTGCAGAGAAAAATGACAATTTCTTTGGCAAAAGTAGAGCCCCCATCTTTCGAAACACACACTATGCTGCAACCAAGAAGGGAGGAAGAATCCTATTCAGGCAGCTGCATTGTTTCCCAGTGTAGAAGTGGGTTGGAATTCTGCTGCCGGTTTGGGACGCAACACAGTTTGGCATAAAATCAATTCATTGTTAACTCCACTGTGGTTGGATCTTATGGGCAGCATTTCTTACTTTTAGTTTTGTTTGATTTGTGATTGAAGCAAAACCTCTGGAGACACAAAAGGCCCTTTGCCCACTTCGATTCTTCCAWTAGAAAACATTGGCCCTTTGGTGACTTCAAGCTACCCCAATCTTTGCAAGCAACAAAACTAAAAGGCCAATCAGCTTTTGAGGGCTTCAGTTTCAGTTTGACCACTTTGGTGCATCTTTCCAGTAACCCACCTGACTGTGTCTGCAAACATTCAACAGCTTTTAGTCTTATGTTCCATAACAACATTACATTGAAATAACAGCACCCATATTCYGTAATACTTTGTTGGGCCTAATTTATCGGCAGATTTCCCAAAAAAWTTCTAAGTCATAGATATTCAATAACAAATTCAATAAGACAAAGCCTCAGGATCCAGTTTATCAGGTTTAGGTCAAAAACTGCATGTCATTGATGATCAATCAGCATAATGACAGAAATACAGGGAGAGAATAATAAAAGCAGCAACAAAAAAAAAGGTGGGTCAAAGACGTAAAAGTGTTTCTGTGTCATTCACATTTTGGAGCAGTGGAAAGTGGATACTCTGGGGACTAAGGAGGATGCTCAAGCATACAAGTTTTACATGTAAGCTGAATAAGTACAAACTGAGGGACTCATTTTATATAAAGAAATATCGTCCACTTGTTGTTTAGTGCCAGCACAGTACTTTWCTACCGAACAACTATTATCTTATCCTTGCTCAATACATTCCAGCTAACACCCTGGCAATATCTCAGCTCTCTCCTTGAGTGTCTTTCAGAGGCAACACTGGAGAGCTACTGGTTTTTGTCAAAGCATTTGTATAATAGCTGAGGATCTATTGCTTATGCACCTTCAATAGCAGAAAATACGTAGGATGCAGATACGCCTTGCGCTACAATTCCCATCCCCAACTGGATTGCAGGGCAATTCTTGTARATATCTATTCTGAGACCCAAACTGAAAACTCCTTGAAGACTCCTTGAAACTGAATCTTTGTAGAATTTGGACCCTTTTGGCTCCAGGGCATAAGAARACACTTTTTAGTTTTATTAAGAGTCATTTGTCACATCTGTGACTATTAGCCTCTGACCACAGAGAGGCAGAAAGAGTAAGTACCTTCAATAGAAGATGTTTCTGGAGACAAGAGCACTGTGGTCACTTCTAGACACCATCAGAAATTTAACAGGTAGAAAAAGAGCTGAACAACAATACGAAGAATYACAGAACCACAGAACATGAAGAGYTGGAAGGAACCCACAAGGATCATTGACTCCCACTCCTGGCCCCTCCAGGACCATCCCCAAGAATCACACCACGTGCCTGGAGCATTGTCCAAATGCTTCTGGGAGCTCTTTAGGCTTGGTGCTGTGACCACATCCCTAGGGAACCTGTTCCMGTGCCCAAACACCCTCTGGATGAAGAACTTTTTTCTAATATCCAACCTCAACCCCTCCTGACACAACTTCAGGCCATTTCCCCCAGAAGAAAAAAAAACCCACTCAACTAAATTCACCAAGTTTTTAGAAGAACAGGTAATTTACACTAAAAGGCCAAAAATCTATCAATCATGTTCATATGCATCTGGCCTTTAACAGCCCTATTGCCCAAATGAGGTTTCATTATCATGTTGAAGAATTGTTGTGACCACAAAGTCTGAGCTCTGGGAGCTCTTGATCATGAACACAAAGCATCAGCCACAGCCACCAAGTRTGTGGAAAAGGGAACAGAGGCAAATCTAGCAGTTTATTCAGGAAACATCTTGGAGAGTTTGGTCATAGAGAGATTCATAGATGCTGAACCCTTTGCTTCAGCACTGGTGGCAATGACACAGGAGTGTTGCTGTCGGTGAAAGGCATGGCAGAAGTGCCTACAGCCCAGAGTTCGCTGGGTTTATGTGATTATCTTGGAGGAAGTTAAGATGGCTCATTTCATACAAGGACACTAGTACAAATATTTATGTAAACCGTGCTTTTAATATCTCAGCTCAAATGCAAGTAATTACACTTCTGACATGTTTATCTAGTCTCAGTGCAAGTGTCTGACCTTTACGTCGCTTAACATGGATAATGCAAACTGCTGTTAATGACATATTTTAAGTTAAATTTAACTTACTTTGGACAGGAGCGAATCATATGGTGGAAGTTACATATTGTATATTTCCACACTGGTCAAGCCCAATTCCCTGCTTTTTACTAGGAAACAGCRTTCTGTTTATTAAGTGCATCTTTGTCTGCATGTATTTTTATTTCATAAAATTATTTTTGTGTACTAAACTTAGTGTTCACAGTTATATATTATAGAGGTATTTATGTATTATAGAGGTCTTGAGGCATTGCTACTTCAAGCTATGCAAGATGGATGATCCTCCACAGGTTGTGGAAATTGGGGCCCTGGCTTCTGTTTTTTCAATATTTAAGCAAACCCAAGGACTTATTAYACAGGGAAAACCACATTCTCCCAATTCCATAAAACTGGGTTGAAAGCCTCCCCATGCCATTTCTACTTGCATTTTTCTCATGTACTTTTTCCAGTTTCTGAATCCCAAAATAAAGTATCAGTGTATGCAAAGAAAAGCTGAAGGGAGCAGAGCAAATTTTGATTTCAGCTTGGGAGGGCTGCCCCCTTCAAAAGCCACAGAGAACGTGGCAGTGCTGCAAAGCTCATGTGGTGAAAGCCTGTGCCTCTTACTGGAAAAAGCTAAACTAATTCAGAGAGCTCACACCATCCACCCAGCACCAGGGGACACAGCCAGAAGAACAATTTGAAGCTTGACCCATCCAATTAGTTTAAACACATTATTAACAGCAGAAGCCACAGCTAAATGCATCAAAAACCTAAACCTTACCTAGACATAACAAGGCAAATGCTGTCAGCTTCAACTGCTGAAGGTTACATGAATTCAGTGTGAGATACAACTGCATCCTGAAGGTCTCAATAAAGAACATCCACAAAATACCAGACTTAAGCACTYGGAAGCACAACAGAGACGGTCCCCTTTCATCACAGAATGAAAATAGTGCAAAGTTTCAAACCTAGCTGCAACTAAATAATTCGGGTCTAAAATCCGTAACTGGCCTTTCCATACAGATGTCTGCTCTTTACCTTGCCCCGTCCTGCTGTGAAATGTGCAATAATTGCACAGCAGATGACTTTTGTTTTCTAAGAACATGACATGGCCATTATTAATGTGGCCTGGTATTAGTCTGTTTTTCTTTTCATCTTTATCAGGCATCTATATCTCTCTGAGAGGTCTTGTTTACATAAAACAGTGCACTTGGATGCATGATGCTTAATGAGTTTCTGTACAACCAGAACAGAGTGAGTAAAGCACACCACTCTTTCTAATTATCAATCATGTGACTGTGCTAAGAGAAACAGCACTTAGCAAATGCTGCCAGAAAGCTTCTTTCCTTTTTTTTTTTTTTTTTTTTTTTTTTTTGTTTTTGTAAAGAACAGCCATAAATTATGAGTTAGGACAATGTTGCTTTGGCTCCAAGCAGAAGCAGTAGGAAGAGAAAACCCCCCAGCTGTGCTCATATTTCATGCTCCCTAATCACTGAGTGGTTCCTTCCTACRTTTACAAGGCTCTGGTATAATGAATTCGACCAAACCCTGGTCTCGGTGGGTCTGGCTACTCTCAGGGAATTCTAGGAGCACTTCCCACTTCAGAGTCCCATTTTCCCTTGGATGCACTGTCCACCTGACAGCTCCTGCTTTCTATCAGAAGAAAACCCAGATGAGAGGCAGCGATGGAGCTGTGGTGGGCCTGTGCTCTGACCAGTAGCCCAGCACAGATCTTGCTGGCCTCACAGACAGAGGCACACAGGGACCCCACAGCATCTGAATGGCCCTCAGCAATTTACTRCACATTCCAAAACCTGAAGGTTTGGAATGAGAGCAAGGCATGCTCACTGCCACCCACACACCCACCAGCACAGGCACAGATGAGGCAAAGCTGACTGCCTGTGTGCCCTTCACAAAAAGCAGTTTCCACAAAAAACTACATCAGAGGGCACCAAGCTGCTTCAAGGCTGCCTTCATGCCCCTCCTTTCCCTCTCCTGCATCCCACAGGAGAGCCAGCCTGGTTCTGCAGGATCACTGGCRGAGTCCAGCACTGCTGGGGTGGCCAGGGGCACACTTTTTTGGTATATTTTGCAATGCAGTAAAACGGATGTGTCAGATTAGTTAAAATTGGCACCCTCAGCCCAGAAGCCCAAATTGGATTTAACAGTGCATAAGAATAGTGATATCATCCAGTAAATAATGGAAAGCCAACTTGCCTGAACCAGAAAATTATTTCAGAGTATTATGCTGATACTTACTTTGGGGTAACAGAAAGCTGCCATTGCAAATCAGCAATAAACTTCGCTTTTGTCATCAAAATAAAGTAGGAAGTTTCTCACATTTTGAATTTTTACATGGCTGGTAGGTAAGATATTACTTCCTCCAGCGGAATTTCCTGTTAGAAATCAAAGCCTTGGCTAGATGTGGGAACAAGATAGGTAAACTGAATTCCCATTTAATTTACAGAGCATTATGCCCTTGTTAGAGGGTCAGACTGTTGGGAATATCAT